TTAAAACTAAATAAGCAATATGTAAAAAATTCATAGAAAAACAATAATAATAATAATAAAAAAACATTACAGTTTTGTATCCTAATATAACATATAAAAACATTATTAATCGATGGTATGAGTATGTGCACATTGATAAAATATATATTTTTTAACATCACAGATGGTAAAACACACAAATAAACATGATAACTAACAACTTGTCGAAACTATGTATTTACTGTTCGGAGTTTAAGATAGAAATGTCACATTTTTTCTTAAAGCAGTTTTTAGCATGTGTTCAAATTTTACGAGAAATTTAAAAAGCGATGGGATCTTGTCATTTTTTAAGAAATTTTGACACGCTATTAAGGAACCACGTGTTTGTTTCGTTCAGGGCCGTATTGTCGAAACGTTTGTTTATGACTTTGTCGTTATGCAATTGCAAAAACAACCCCTCAGCGAATCTTCTTTTAATTACGTTCTTTTCAAAATGTGAAAAATTTTGGGTTGAAAAAATCTATTTTATGGTTTAAATTAATAATATGTTCGGTTAGCATCGTCTTAAATTGTTCGGGATTTTTTGAGTTATTTTACAAACCAAACCAAATAAGTTTTTTACGAAAAATAGATTATATTAATTTCAAAGGGGTTGTACGAAATTATATCTACATTATACAACTAATGCAAAATATAAATTTTATGTGTATATTTTTTACAGAGATAACACTGTATATAACGTTGATCTAGTATAACATTTATTTAAGTCATATCTTGCAAAAGTGGTTTGTTTAACTTAATTTACCTTTTTTTTATTATTAACGTAGGATAAGTTCTAGTAATCGCGAAAAAATGCAAAATGCAAATTTTATATATTTTTACGCTTCAGAGGTTTTTGAACATTTTGGCATACCTCAGAAAAAATTGATGTATGCGGATACAAATTTTCGGTGACGATTTCGCGAACATGGTTCAACCGATTTGAATAATGTAAAAAACATTCGATTCCTATATATATATATATATATATATATATATATATATATATGTTAAAGTAGTTAATTAGTAGATAATATATATATATATATATGTGTGTGTATATATATATAAGGAGACGTGCTGATTAGTTTTAGCAAAGGCAGGTCTAGCCGTTTCAGAGATTTCGGTAAAAAGCAATGCCATTTGGCGGTCGAAAATGAACGTTAGACATATGTGCATCGTATTATCAGATATTTTTAAAGATTTTAATATTAAGTACAAATTTTGTGTACATCCGTAACAATGTTTCCAATTAGACGACTACGCGGCGCTTACGCGCTTTGATATTTCGACACCAAATCAGCCAAGCCTAAGAAAAAATGCTGATATTTTAAAAAAAAATCAAAATATAAAAATATTTCTTTCAGTCTTTTTTCCAAAAATTTCAAAATTTCTCAAAAATCTATTTTTCTTTCAAAGTTTAGCAAATGGCTAGGATTCAGATTGCTCGTCAGTAGAGTCCTTTTATAAATTTCATGTTCAGGATACAGTTTGCTCGTCGTCCTTTAGTCAGTAGAGTTAGTCAGTAGAGTCCTTTTTATATATTTCATGTCTTGGATTATTCAGTTTGCTCGGCTAGGATTGAGCTTTTTTTTAATAACTTAGTTTTTGGTACGGAAAGTTCCAGCAATTTACTTTAATGCACCACTAGCTTTTTTATTGTTTACACCTTCGACATGGTAAAGGTTCAATTGGTCCTTTTGTTAATTTTTATAGGGGTTATATATAAAAAAAAAACTTGGATTTAATTAAAAATAACAATACATCTTATAAAACATTCAAATAACTTAGGTTTCGGTAAACTAAACAACCGTGCTCACCAAAAAAAATTAACAACGAAAGACAATATTAATAATTTGTTATGGATTTTCAAACATTGTCGTTCATCTCCTGATAAATAACGAGTGATAGCTGGTTATACATATTTTGCCCTCTACTTTCAAATATTGTAGTTGAAAAAGTTCCTAACTTTACTTGTTTTTGAGATATCGGCAGCAGTCCTTTTTACCTGTTCTTCATTTTTTTTTACATTTTTTCTAATTACGTAATTCCTGTTTTTTTTTTAAGCATTTATATTTACTTTTATTCAATAATTTTTTTTTTTCACTAACTTAAAAATAACAATACACCTTATAAAACAATAGAATAACGTAGGTTAAAAAATATATTAAGGTCTCGGTAAACTAAACAACAGTGCTCACGACCAAAAAAAGAAACTAGCAACGAAACAAAATATGTACTTTTGTTGTGGATTTTCAAACATTGACGTTCACCTCCTGATAAATAACCAGTGATAGCTGGTTATACATCTTTTGCCCTCTACTTTCAAATATTGTTGTTAAAAAATCCCTAACTTCACAAAAAATAACAATGAAAGAAAATACTTTTGTTATGGATTTTCAAACATTGCCATATCATCTTCTGATAAATAACGAGTGATAGCTGGTTATACATCTTTTGCCCTCTACTTTCCTGATAAATAACGAGTGATAGCTGGGTATACATCTTTTGCCCTCAACTTTCAAATATTTTTGTTGAAAATATTTTAACCTTACTTGTTTTTGAGATATCGGTAGAGAACTTTTTACCTGTTCCTTTTTTTTACATTTTTTCTAATTACGTAATCCTTTGTTTTTTTAGGATACGATCAAATTGCACAAACATGCAAGACAACGAGGACAGAAAAACCAAGTCCTGTTTTTGGGATCTAGGAACTCGTTTCCAATATCGACAGCAATATGAATATTATACTTTTATCCTGACGATGAGCAATAAATTCGGCAGGAATAAATACGAGTATAATTTCTCTCATTATGAAAATGGTAAGTGGAAGATCTAAATATCTAATAAATGTATCAATCTAGTTAGATATTTATATTTGTGTTCTTTTATCAGTTATACCAGCCAAGGCAAGTTTTTTTGGAGATCAGAGACAAAAAAGAGCACAGTGCCCTGGTTGTTTGGAACGTGACGAGACCTTTGAATACTTTTCCAAAAGGACTGCACCATATGATAAAATACACTTCTCAATACGAAAATAGCACCACACAGTGGAAGGTAATAAATATGCACACATTTATTAGTGTCAAACATTATACACATTTATATATAGATAAATTATATATTATATATTTATAATAGCATTGAAAATATGTATAATATTTAAAAACAACAATGTAATTAAAGTCATATTTCAAATATGACATGATCGGTTTGTCATTGTAATTAGCATTTAGGACTTGAATCTTCATTAGAGAAATAAAGTAATTGCTGAGTAATAAATACTTAAATATGTTAAACAACGCCTGAACAAATATTGTTTTTGCAACTTCACTCATCATGTAATTGTGTTTGAAGAACTTCATGTATTTAAAATTAACACACATTCATTGACTGCTT